CATGACTAAAATATCTGTTCCGTATAACAGATTGTATTATGAGATATTGGTTGAATTTTTTTCTCAATAAATAAGACAAAGATAAATTCTCATATCGGACTACACAATCCGACATACAGACTATAAAAAAAAAAGAGCATGGATCTTGACATGGTCCTAAATAAGAAAATTTACATGGCTCTGTGGCTTGAACAACATGTATGCTACAGCAATTGCAATCTAAAGCAAAAGGTGATAAACTCAGGCATACCGTTTCCACCAGTAGAGAACCTACAGTCGTGTGGAAGATGATGAACTGGATATCGGGGTTAATAAATGAACAGTTCATTCTTGCCCTAAGAAAAATACTGAAAGTGAGTAGGATATAGGAAGCATATAGAAAATAGCAGTAACAATGACAACCACATGCAGATGGAACAGCAAAATTTTGTTTGCAGAGTAGGTTTGGTTATGTCTTGCTTATTGATTTGCAAAACTCAAATTTGCCGTGCTTATATCTTATGAAAACAGTACATCATATAAAAAAGACGAGCATGGGGAGTCTGATCCACAAATAGGAAGCATATGAACTGAACTTCACATAGTCGAATATAATACATACATCATGGAACATTTCTATATAATGCTATTTACAAGATAAAAAAGACCTCAAGCGTCAATCGTAAACAGAACTTGGGTAGAGTCCCACAGATAAAGGAGCAAAGAAAATTATGATGGCTTTCAACCAACAACAACGACAACATCAACTACTTAGGATCGACTACATAGATATTTCCTGTAGTATCTAACAGCTTGCTGGCTTTCGCACGTGCACAAAGAAATTGGAGCATAGAAAAAAGTTATTCGGCATCCGAATATTCTTGTAATGCCCTATCTACTTGCTGGCCTTCGTGCGTGTGTAAATGGTATGGTGCATAGAAAGAGGTTAATCAGCATATGGATATCTAAAATAATGATGGAACCATAATACGACGAGCTTAGAACAACATGACCCAAAATACATAAGCCCGAGATAATTGTGTAGGAGGCAGATCTAACCCTATATTTGATCATATCCATTCTCTTGCTTCCAACCTGGATCGAAATCAAGGTGTCACATTTACTTCAGCTACACAATAGTTAAACAACTTTCACAATCAACCGGTTATTAGAGGTCTCATGGTGCTTAGTTTCAGAAAACAACCTGAATCCATTAAGCTTCAAGAAGGAGCAAATTGGCTTCAAAGTTACCTCGGTAATGGGATGAAAGCATCGTTCATTACTTGTTCATAAATCCTTCAGTGTGCAAGTCCATTATGCTTGATTAAATCAGCACTACCGATGTGTGAATCAAAGGAATAACATTTTTAGTCGTATTCTCATAATCATGACCATAATGACTTTATGAACTTCCCAATGTTGAGGATCCTTCATCAAGATCAGCAGATAAATAGCATATAAGCGAGCCAAGAAACCATAAATCTGCGCGCATCAAGAGATAATAGGACAATAATTCCTTGCGCAATTTGGAAACAATTCAAGACAAAAATCACAAAGGACCCAAAAAAAGGCCTTTCACAGAGATGTTTCTACCAAACATTCAAACAGTCAATTCAGCAGACGAGTGATATGCAAGCAAGATTGTTTCTAATTTCACAATCCAAATAAGGGGAGGAAAAAAGAAATCAAACCAACGGCGTCGGTCGGAAGCGCGGCGCTGCCTGCCTATTCCTCCGGGGACAAAGATGCAAGTGGCGGTTCTTCGATGGAGAAGCCAATCGTCAGAGGACACGGCGGCCATGAAGCCAGGGTGAAAACATGAGACGAAACCGGAGAATACGACGTCGTCGACGACGACAAGAGCGCAACCTAGAGGGGCCAGGCAGCGGAGCGCGCCGGCGATGGAGCGGAGACGTCAGGAGATCGAGAAAGAAGGTTCGGTGGCAGGCAGTCACGGACGGAGATCTCCTTGTGGCACGACTTACGTCACGAATTCACTCGAGACTTGTTGTGATTAAAAAATTTGTTGGATAAACAAATTTCAGTAGCAATTGTGAAAAGCATGAAATATATATATATATATATATATATATATATATATATATATACATATATATATATATATATATATACATATACATATATATATATA